CGTTGCCACGTGTCGACGTGACGCAATATACATGCTAATACGATGGCTTAGCCACTTCATGAGTCTAGTACAAGGGAAAACCGGCTGCAGGTCCATGCAACTCATAGTAAACTTTGTCAAACGAAACACGTAATTTTTTTTAAGTTCCCTTCACACCGTTTTCTAAACCTAAATTGACCAATGTACTTGAATTTAAATAGCAACAAGGATCCGAATATAAAGATTTCACAATTAATACTAATATTGAAAATCTTTCTATTCAGATCAACAACAAATATTTCACATAAGCTCATAAAATACAGAAGGCTTGTTCAACATTCATGGTATTTTTCAATTGAGGGAACTTTGCTCGAAATCTTTATATGCTATCAGTTAAGTCGAACCCTTTCTCAATATTATTTAATATTTCTAAATTAAATCTTAACTTGGTTGTCACAATAGTTAATTATCAAAATAATCTACTGGTTTTATGACACCTTTCATACTAATGTAATTCTAATTAAGATTAAAGATTAGAAAATTAAGATTTATAGAAGATAACAATAGTATTAAAGCAATGAATTAAATTAATAATAACTATGAATAGAAAAATATAATATATTCATCAAATAAAGAAATTTCACTTCAAAGGAAAATTAAACTTCAAATGAAATTCGACGCCTTGTAGGAAAATTATATTACTCCACCGTCACCTAGAGATAATTAATAATTGCTTAGATGAATCTAGTGCTTTCAAAAACTCATTAATTTGAAAATACAAGTCAGAATGTTTTCATACAACAGAACTTCAATTTTACTTCTCTCTTTAGAACGTAATAAATAAATGCAGATAGTCTATTACCAATTCTATGAGAAATGTAATAATTATAGAAGAACGAAGAGAAAATAATTTTAGGAAAAACACCATATTTAAGAATTTTTTGTGTCACTAAATGATCCATTGAATAACGGCTGATGTAGTCTACTCGCTATTCACTTCAACTCTGACATTTGTTTCGCAGTACACTGCAGCACTGACTACTTCGAGTTCTTTCCATGCCGCTACTAGTCATCCTTCTTCATCTCCCATACATTCTTCGAAAAATCAAAGTCGCCTCTAATACATATTTTCCTAAAATATTTGAAAAAATAATAAGAACAGTCAGTCGGGTAATATTATCTACATTAAAATATTTACTAACCAATCTAGTAAAAATTTTTACCAAAAAGAAAATTGTAAACATAAAGAAATACCAATTTCATTCGAAAATATTACTTTGATACGAAAATATCCAATTTTGTAGACACGTTCGCAAAAGGGAATTTCTTCTTTTTTTTACATATTACACCACACACCGTGGACGAAAAGTACGTGTCGATTGAATTTTGGGTCGAGTATCTTTTCTGTATGGACTTAAAACGTGACATGTATGGCATCGACTGGCAATCTCAAGAATGTAAGAAGTGAAATCGTGATTCTTGAGCATAAGGGACGAAAACTGATAGATATCACCTTAAATTGGAGGATTTACGTGATGGGGATTTATCCAATTTTTATATCAACATTTGTTAAGAACAGAGTTCTTACCATAGTCGGTTCTACGATGGTGCAACTTGAATAAATCACCGACGATGTGTTTGACTTTAAATATTATTTTAAAATACAAAATTAATGTTTTCTATTTATTATTAAAATGTTTATACCAATTTCTTTATCAGAATGTCCTTTTTCAATTTCTGTATTAAATTTTGTGGTAGTATATGGTTTTACAGTTTTTATTTACAATTCACCGTAATCAGTGATTTCTCGGTGATCCTAATCCGCTAAGGTTGAACAATAAAGTATCGATCATAATGTTGAATTTCATTTCTATATATCATTGAAGGGACAATTTTTGGTGGTGTCAGCATTCACATGGGTATAAATTCTCCCTTCGGACCTCTTGAACATAATATTATTACCACGGCCCTTGCGGCAAAGGAAATATAATCGCGCCCTCGACTCAACTAAAAGGTCGTTTTCTCAAACTGTGAACCCAACGACGTTAGAGGTCGTCAGCCCATTCCACTTTTCTATTGTGTATTTTCCTTCTCTCACCCAACTAACAGTTACGTCAGCTGTTTATGTACAAGTATATATACATATACAGATATATATGTTTGTAGTGACGATTTTCTTTTGCCCCAGCCTTTTGTTCTATCTACGTGTTACGACAAAACAGAACCGAGTTTTGCAATTACTCGAGTGGCGTGTGTGCCAAAAGAAAGATGATGCTGGCTCACGTCTAACAGGAGCGAAAATGGTTTATTTTTTTCTCACATGAAAACAAAAATATTTTTTTTAAAAGACGTTTTTTAAGTTCTTATAACTGACAGTTAGATTCGATCTTGCCTGACAAAATCACTTAAATTTCACAAAAATTTTCTATTTTACCGAAAGAGTTTCAATTCGAGAAAATACTTTCTATTAATTATTTTCACGATCGCGATTTAAAAAATGCAAACACTCCTGAAACAAGATTCAAAGTGCTAAAATCAATTATGTAATTATTAAAACAATTAAATGTTGTGATACTCAATCCCGTAAAATCATTACATAATTTAAAGAACAAAATTAAAAAATAATTCCGTTTTCCAAAAATAAAATATTTATTGCAATAGCGAGATCGAAATGATTTGAAATATATATTTCACCTTACATTACTATTCGATAATTTTTCTATTTATAAAACTTTTAAAATAAATTATTAATTATAATATTTTATATTTTATATTACTAAATAAGTTATGTTATATAATTACTTTCACAATTTAAATATCTTTTTATAATTTTGTATACTGTATTGATATTCAACTATAATTTTATTATTATACTGCAAAATGTGTCAATATTTTGTAAAATGTATAATTAATGTAATAAATAATAATTAAATTATTAATTAATTAATAGAATTAATTTTAAATCAAATATTTGAAAATCAATATCTTATTGCGGTATATGAACACGTTTAAACAGGCGGTATCACTGTTATCAACTAATGAATGGAGATTAAATTTCATGAATTAAGAATATTTGATAGAAATAACTCGACTTTTTAAAATTCCGTGAAACCGGAAGGACAAGATTAAAGCATTTGGAGTTATTATTACTATTATTATAAAAATTTACTATAATAATAAAATTGTAAAAAGTTTCAAAATTGTCTTTGCGATATTTTTTCAAAAATTGAACACGTTTAAACAGGAGGAATCACGAATAGAAACTGATGGATAGAGATTAAATTTCGAATAAATTTCACTTTTTAATTGTTTTCACCTACAAAACTTCGTTTGCTGCAAATGTAAACAAAACCTTCAAAAGGATAATGCCAAAAGCATAGAATAATTAACAATATTAAAGTTAAAAAACTTTTTTTAAAAACAGTTTCAGAATTTATTTTTTTTACTTAACTAAAACTTTTTGTGGGTAATTTAAATTTTACAACAATGGAAATTTGTACAATATTTATTTCTTTAAAGAATTTGGTGAAATGTAAATTCTAGGTATTTTTGTGTTCTAAGAAAAAAGTACAATTTACAGTAAATAATGCGTGAAAACTAAATAATTTTAAGTACAAATTGTATATGATTCTATGTATATTATACTGAGGAATCAAAGTGAAAAAATAAAATAAAGCAACTATGTTCAACATAAATTATACGAAAAAGGACATCTATGAAAACAGACTTAAATGATTACTAATGTAAAGCAAGAATTAAAAATAAAAATGTTGACTATATGACAGATTTTTTTAAATCATTAAGATCCGGTTTTACAACTTATTTTTAACTTGAGTTAATCGTGTTGGCAATGTAGTATCGCCATCACTTGTCAAAACTATGGGTTTTGCGTTAAAAACAAAAATATTTTTTGCTTTATGTATTTATTAATTAATATTATTATTATTATTGCAAAACTTTACAATTCATAAAAAGTTAAAAGTTTATGGAATGAATTTTAAGTATTAAAAGAAAAGTGGGTTCTGCAATATGAGGTTAAGTTACGTAAAGTGAGAGAGAGAGAAATATTGCCAGAGTCGATAACGAAAGAAAAGAAAGAGAACTAGTAGCGCCACGGCAAAAAGGACTTTTTCACCGAGGAGACAACATCATCTGTTACCTAACGAATTACCATGTGACAATTTATAGAACAAAATTCTTAAATATGGTGTTTTTTCTAAAACTATTTTCCCTTCGTAATTCTATATTTATCAACTAAATTTCTCTTAATAAAAAAATTAATCTACCAAAAATTTCTTTTCAACTAATTCAAACATAAAAAGTTCTATTATATAATATTGATCCAAAAACTGTTTTCTCTTCGTGATTTTATAATTATCAACTAAATTAAAGTTCTTACCAGAAATCTACAGTTTACATTATATAAACGTTGAAAAGTTATTTTTGTTCGTAAATATTCTAATTTTATAATTAACAATTATGAAGAAGAAAGCGGTGTCTTTGAATTTTAAACAAAATGTGTTATCAACTGTGACATTAACTCAAAACATATAGACTACAATTCAATCCTTACTTTTTACTATAATGAAAAGAAAAAAAATCTATAAAAATTAAAATGTGCTGCCTTTTTGGTATCACTGCAATGGAATAGAAAAATGACGGATGGGTTATTTTTGTACTTTTTTGTGAGAGACACATTTTTCTGCAACTACACACCTAATGTTATGGACGATGAACAATATTAATACAGCAACAACAACAAACGACAAGAAAAAAAAATGCAAAAAAAATAAATAATGGATTATAGTGGCAAGAGAGAAACAGGCGAAGGGGTAGGGTGGGCCACACATTATGGTACCTGAACAATGATATTGTGTTTGGAATTTTTTTTTTTGAACGGAAGAATGGTGTAATATCAAAAATGTAGTAGCTAAGCGCTAGGAGGAATCTCTCTATATAGTAGTATATATCTAGCCTTAGTACGACTGATTTACGAGGTCTAATAAGTTAACGAGACTCACTGTAATCCCACTGCCAGTAATCACCACCACCCGCCGTAGGCAGCACCGTGCTCCATGCTTCTTTTTATCGCACAAACAAAAAGAAAAAAGTAATAAAAAACAAAATAAGAAATGAACATGCCACTTGAGTAACGCTACAATCAAACAAAAAGAAAATTTGTTATTAATTTTAAATAAATGTAAAGGAATTCTTTTTTGTACACCATTAATCATGTGAATGATAATCTAATGATGTTAACATATAATGGATAGGAGAATTATATTACAAATAAAAAATTTTTTGTTCTACATTTTTCAATTTCTATTATTCTTGGCCAAACTACTATCCTGAGTACAATTTAGAACACTGTAGATTTTACCGTATGTTTAGTAACGTTCGCCATAGACATTGTCAATTTTACCATACGTTTAGTAACGTTCGCCATAGATACTGTAAATTTTACCATACATTTAGTAATATTTACAATATAGGTACAAAGTTTTTATTCGAAAAATACGTTTCTATAGTTTTACCTTCATGACTGCGTCCTTAATGTCAAATACACTTACTTCTAAACTATAATACACCCCAAAAAGCAGCGAATTTAACTTAATATCGCCTTAAAGAGACAATAAATTTAAATATAGGCAATAATAGAAGATATGAGAGACAGAAAATAATTGCTTTTTCGTCGTAAAGCATATAAATTACGGAAGTGACATAAAAATGTCAATTGCTCTATTGGGATATGAAACTCCCAGACGGGTATTTAATTTAAAAGTAACATTGACGTTATCAATTTGAATAATAGTCGTTTGAGGGGCCTTTATTTCTGAAAATTTCCTCCAAAGACAAGAAATAGGTCAACAATCAACAATTCTACGCCTCAGAGTAATATCCACGACCACCTAATATTCATCCCGTTCAATCATTTATTCTCAAGAAGGAGGTCACTATTTTTACCCTTTCTCAACAATTTTTAAATAATTACATGCATATTTATGAAAGAAAACCTATTTAATAATTTCAGAAAGAAATACAAAATTTACAGGTCAAGAGAAAAAATTAAATCGTATAATTTAGAATTCAGAAGTGAATGCGATTTAAGAATTTAGGTCAAATTCATGGGTTTTAATCTTAAGAAAAAATGGTCTAGAAATCACAGATCAAGAAATGGGTATAAATTTAAATTTTAGAAAAAAAATCGAACGTTAACATAAAAGGCAAATCATTTTACATTTCTTATTTTAACGGCCGGAAATGAAAAGTGATAAAATTAAAAGGGATATATAAATTCACGTAAGTAAAAAGAGATGTCGTAAAAAAATGGTTCACACCTGTACGTGAAAAACCGCCTCGTTTTCTCATACATGATATCACTTTGACATTGCGCGTTATGAGAACTTAAGTCATAAACGCCCTTACCTAGAGATTTACGTCTTGAAGGCCTTTACGATCAGTAGCGCTCGTTTAAGCTTCAAACAACTTTATTTTAGATCTCGGAAGTTCATAAGAAATTATGAGTTTCATCCCTGCTTTTAATAACTATGAGTTGCCATTTTCGTTCTTATCAGTTGTGTGTTTCACTAATTTTATTGCTTCGTTAAAATACCGAGAACTGTTATTATTTTTTTATTAAAATGACAATATTATACATTAAAAAGAGAACCAGGAGTTTTAAACAAATTAAGAAGCAAAAACTTTTATTAATACAATACCCAAGGTATTATTTTCATATTCTTTTTTTAAAGAATAGTAGTAGGAAAATAAATTTAAATTATTTATTATAAAAGCGGCGTTGGTAAAACGATTGGAAAATTGAACACGTTTAAATAGGGAGAATCACTGTTTGCTTTTGATGAAATTATATTAATCATAGTAATAATAATAATAGTAGTAGAAAAATAATTAATTTAAATAAACTATTAATAAAAGCTGCTTTGATTAGATCAGCAAATTGAACACGTTTAAAGAGGGGGAATCACTGTTAGCTTCTAATGAAATTATATTAATAATAGCAATAATAATAGTAGTAGAAATTAATGAATTTAAATAAATTTTGATTAAAAGCGACGTTGATTAGATTAGAAAATTGAACACGTTTAAACAGGCAGAATCACTGTTCGCTATTGCTGAAATTGGAATAATTATTTTCTGTATTCATTAACACTGTGAAAATGCAGTTGTCCTCTGACTGGAGTTGATTGAGAACACTGCGCGCGCAGCTGAAAAGAAGTGGGGAGAAACGACAAGGGCCAATCACAGTTCGTTACCCCCACTCCCAGCACAGTGTTCTTAATCAGCCGAAATACAAAATTAGATAAAATTTAATTTTTAAAATTCACATTTTATCATATTTATACATTTATGAAAAATGATAAATAACATTTTTCCTTCTGAAACAAAGATTAACTGAAAGAGCAAATGAAAAAAGAATGAGTACAACAAACATTTTTCTTACCTTTTTCACAGTAAATTCCTTCATAGTCACCGGTGCGACATTCGCAGATGGGCCCACTGTCAGTGGAAATGCAAATCCCACCATGTTGACATGGATCGCGTGTTTCACAGGCGTCCGTCATGTTTGCTGACACCATGTTTCGCAAACTCTGCAACAGGCACGAGAAGAAAATTTTTCAGACCAATGTTACATGCTCATAAAGCCATTATGTATGGTGTTATGAATCTACCTCTCCCTCCCTACTTCTCCCAACCCTTAAAACCTCCATCATCTCGTAAAATTCAAAATTTATCTCGTGCTACAATATAACAAGCCCGATATTAAATAAATATTACCACTACATGCATTTTTATAGCTCATTAAAAATTTTATCCACATTAATTTAACCTACAATGAATTTTACAATTAAATGAATTTAATATTTTTGTTCAAAAATACGAATTACAAAAGCGATTTTGTATTAAGGGAGTATTCGAAGAGAAATTTTTTATTAATTCGAACTGAGTGGTAATAAATAATACAAGTTGGAAAAAATTTAAATATTTAATTAATGAAATATTGAAAGTCAGGATGAGTGGGAGTTAAAAAAGGTACATAGGGAAAAAGAAATGAAGAACCCAGTATTCAATCATAAAATTTTTAAAGTTAGGATAAATGTAAATATGAAAACACTAAGTAGAAAAAAATTTAAAAGCTTAGTATTTAAATGCAACATCTTTCAACAATTTCCACCCATTTCATAAATAGAAATATAAAATTCTAAGGGGGAATTGTAAATACAGCCCAGTATTAAACCACAAAACTTTTTATGGCGGGATAAAAAAAAGCCAAAAATTAATTGTCAAATTGGCGTCGTTGTTGTAGTGACCTCTCTTCACCGTGAGTATTATGAGTACTTCAATACCAACATAAAACTACTGTCGATAAAACATTCAAAATTCTATGTTGAAAAATATATTTAAAGCCGTTATGTAACAACAAATAAATTGTTGTCTGAGTATTCGTATTAAAATAAATAAATTTCTATGTCGAAAAATAAATATAGCCCAGTATTCAACTACAAATAAATTTATGGTGGAATATAATAATAAAAAATACAACGCCAAAAATAAATTGTCAAACAAGCGTCGTTCTTGTACACAAAAGTACTGTTGATGAAACTTTTTTATTTCTATGTCGAAAAATAAATAAAGCCCAGTATTTAACTACAAAAAACTCTTTACGTAAAAGAATTCGTATAAAAATAAAAATTTTATTTCGAAAAGTAAATATAGCCCAGTATTCAACCACAAATAAACTCTTTGTGGAGGAATAAAAAAAACCACCAAAAATTAATTGTCAAACAAAACGTCGTTCTCGCAGCGACCTCTCTTCACCGTGAGCGACATGAGTACTGCAATAAGAAGACAAAAGTACTGTCGATAAAACTTTTTAAAAACCATGTCAATTAGGAAATTATATTTTCAAGTGGCGCAGTTCATAACTCACAGCGTCTACAAACAAACTGACACTACAAAATATACAAAACGCCCAAATTGACTTTTTAATGAATATTACATCACTTCACTAATTCTAAAATATTTAATCTCCTTCAACATTTTTTTTCACAAAATGCAGCAACAAAGTCAATATTTCCAATTTGAATTTTTTTTCTAATGAAATTGAACGATAATTTAAAATTTTAATATCCGTTGGAATTATCAAATTACTTTTTCCCTTTTTTTTAACGTGAGATTATTCAAAGAAAAGACGGGGTTTTTCAAGTTTTATTTTAAAATTTAATATCCGTTGAATTTTAACTTTTATGAGATACGATAAATGGGTGGAGGATCTGCATTATTTTTATCACTTCTTTTTTCTTCATTTCTTCGTCTACGCGCGTTCTCAATGCATATCTCGCGGGACACAAAGTGTAAAAATTTTTACTTCCCTTAATGCGCACACCGGGTCACTAGTTCATATCACCGCATTATCTCACTGTATTTAACACTTATTAAAATAATAGGGATATTTTTTTTAATTCCAAAGATGGTTTTTCTTTTCTTCTTGAACCAAAAGTTTGTATTCTCCTTGGAGATTTAGTTTCTATTTTATATTCTCCTTCCTTTTTCTCTTATTCACTTTTATTTATTTCTCAAGTTTTATTCAGATTTGTCGCAGAATTTTTTTTTTGGTTTTTCTTTCATTAGCGCTTTTTTTGCCGCAGAAATTAAAAGAAAAAATTTATCATTCAAATAAAGTTAAAAAATTTTTAATTAAACCAAGAACATTTATTAAAAATATTTTTTATGTACATAAAATTAAAAGTTTTTGTGTTGAAATAAGAAATAAAACAAAAAAAAAAGCTTTGGTGAAATGTCATTCATTATTATGAATAAATTGTTTTTAAAATACTGCTAATTATAATTTTTTACTCTCTTTGTTTTGTTAATTAAATTTCCATCAAAAAGTTGTTATTTGCATTTGTGTGATAGAATAAGAAAGTAAAATATGCAAATAAATTAATAAATGTTTGTTAATAAAATTTTCAATGGGAAATAATTGACGGATATCAAATTCTCGACAAATTGCATATTTTAGATGCAAGACAGAGACGTGCGCTTGAAAAATTTCTCGACTGAAAAAAAATGAAAAGAGAGGGACCCTCTTTTGCACAGCTCACGATTTTCAAAGCACTTTACCTCATCACAAAAACCGCTAATGTTTCCCTTGAATAAATTGGCTACTAAAATATCTTAACCTTGCTTTTGACGTCAAAAATCTCCGGTCAAAGTGGACTTTCTCAAAGTATAATATCAATTCCATGAGGAAATAACTTGGGGAAAATTTTTTTTACTGCAACTAAATTAGAACACAGAAATAGAAAAAATTAAACATTTTTTTAAATTTAGAAATAAAATATTTGTGCCAATTAGACGTTTTTAAAAATAAACATTTGATATTTATATTCCCTGTTTATCAACGAAATTAGTACAATGTTAAAAAAAAATTGACACATTACTGAAAATTTGATCTTGAGAAACTATGCAACAAACTTTAGATTAATGAAAATATTCAGTAGGAATTTTCCATTTTATTCAAGTTCCGAGGAGCGGCATCTCCCGAGGCTGTATAATTCCAGAAGCTAAACTATGCAAGCTGCATATTTCTAATGTATAACTATATAGATGGGCACTCCTCCCTCTTCTCCTTCTTCTCTTTCTACTGCTACACCCACCTCAGGTGCATTGTGGATAGTTGCAATAACGATTCGCAAATAAATCAGCTAATCTAATTTGTAGTAAATCAACTCACCCTCATGGACAAATTAAAACGGTTGAATTATCCACATTGAGAAGTAATTTCACTGTGCCAAAAGTGGGCGTGGCGTTTTAAATAATCCGATTCTGCTTTACATGATTGGGCGTTGCCAATTTTAAAATGGGCGTTACTATTTTAAATGTAGGCGTTGCTATTTTAAACGATCCTCCCTTTCCTACTAAAGTGGGCGTCACTTTTACTAATAGTGGGCGTGGACTAAAGTCAGAGTGGAAGCGAACACCGAGTAGATAACGTCTCTTCCTCATTGAATTACTATGTGACAATTTATACAAAAAAAATTATTAAATATGGTGTTTTTCCTAAAAACTATTTTCGTTCCGTGAGTGTATAATTCGGTAAAAATTCCGACAGATGGCGTGTCGATTCAGATCGACAGAAATAAAAGTGGGCGTTGACGTTTTTAAAATGGGCGTTAGTATTTTAAATGTAGGCGTTGCTATTTTAAACGACCCTCCCTTTTCTACTAAAGTGGGCGTCACCTATACTAAAAATGGGCGTGGACTAAAGTCAGAGTGGAAGAGAATACCGAGTAGATAACGTCTGTTCCTCAGTGCATTACTATGTAACAATTGATTTTAAAAAATTGTTAAATATGGTGTTTTTCCTCAAACTATTATAAAAATTATACATTTTTTAACAAAAGATTGGAAGAATCACTAAATCTGCTGATCCCATTCGTCAAAGTGGGATGGGCGTTTCCGTAAAGTACCAAGTAAATAGAAATCACAATTCAGAGGATACTTAAATAGATACTGAAAAGGACGCTATTAAAAAAAACTTGGCTCCAACTTTCTTAAATACTACAAACCCATTTTTTTTAAATAGGCGTTTCCCTACCTCCAATGGGCGTGTCCCAAACCTTTTAAAGTTATTACACTTTTTTCCCCAGCTTTTAAGCCAACAGCGAAAGAAACCCAAGTAAATTGTTTTCAGCGGTTTACCTTTACTTTTGTGTACACAGCGAGTTTGAAAATTACTCGGATCCAGAAATAGTGAGATTTTTCTTTTCATGGTTTATAAGTGTGTATATGTGCGGTTTCTTGCCTTGGTGGTTTTGCAAAATGAAGAGAGCCGATAAAGTCTTGGAAAGTGTTCTTTCCGTCAGTGTATAAGAGAAACGTAGTCGTTACGCTTAGTTTAAACTAAACTGGAATTGTGTACTGTCGAGTATTTGCCGAGCTGTGCAAGTCCCGGTGGAGACTACATTGAGAGAGTGAGAGAGAGAGAATATAGATATTTGCACATATAGTGAATACTATTTGGTCGACGAACCACTAGCTTCCAACTTGACCGAATATCCTGGAGACATGAACCGTTTGTTTCCGTCAGGTTCAATATGAAGATAAACTGCGATTGTTTTAGTGTTTACCATAAATTCACAAACCCACCCTTCTCCCTAATCCCAATAGGACTAAATATTCCTGTTGTTTAATGTCAAGTGATCATCAATCAATATTTATTTCTACAGTTAGTTTAGAAATTTCCAATTTCTTAGTTGTTGATAGAAGAAAATAAATATTTTTTAGTGACTTTTGTCATTATAGAAAACAAAAGCAGCAAGGGAATTTATGAGAGCGGAAATGAAATCGGAAAGTGGGAAAATGATCGGAACATCGTGTAACTAGTCTCGCTACCGGGTTATTAATTCGCCAAGCTATAAATTGCCGTGTAATTTCCTCGAAAACTTAGTCAATTTCCATGCCACGACAATCACCACCCTTAACTTTCCCCCAACCCAACGTTTTCCTCTTTCTCATAAAACCCTCACGACATCTATTCATTTACATTGACTTACTGTTGTCAAACATTTGCTACATTTTCTGTCAA